ATCTGAAAGAAGTCGTGGAGGACAGGGGAAGTGCCAGATAACTGGAGAAGGACAAATGTTGTCCCTATCTTCAAGAAAGGGAAGAAGAGAGGAGGAGGAAGAGCAGGAAGCAGAACTGGAAGCAGACAAAGATGAAGATGAAGACAAACCACCACCTGGAACTACAGAGTCTGACATCAATCCCTGGGTAAATTTTGGACCAGATTATAAAGCAGTCAGCCTGCAAACACTTGGAAAGCAATGCAGTGGTCACTAGAAGCCAATTTCTCCAGAACAATTCCTGCCAGACTGATCTAATTTCATTTTTTAAAAAAATTGGGTACCCATCTTGACTTCAGCAATGCTTTTGACAAAATTGGGTACTTCCATGATATCCTGATACCCTAAAAGTGGGCTAGATAGAACAACGATCAGGTGGATTCACAGTTGGCTAAAGAATCAGACTCAAAAAGTGCTAACCAATGGCACCTTCTCAAACTGGGAAGGGGTAAAAAGTGGGGTACCTTAGGGTTCAGTGCTTTTCAACATTTTTATTGATAATTTGGATGAGGAAGTGCAGAGAATGATTATCAGATTTGCAGATAGCACAGAACTGGGTGGGATAGCTCATAGCCTTGAAGACGGAAATAAGATTCAAAGTGATCTTGATAGGTTGGAGTACTGGGCTGAAAAAAACTGAATGAAATTTAATAGGAACAAATGCCATATTCTGCACCTAACGAAAAGAAAACAAATGCATCATTACAAAATTGTCTCAACAATACCGCAAGTATTGTGTTTAACTGTTTATTTTATAGAAATGTATGGTGTGAACCACTGTGATTCTTGCTTTATGCATTTGAAAAACTGGACACAGTTCAATTCATAACTTAATGTAGCGCAAAGTTCTGCTTTAACTAGGGGAGCTGGCATGGGGCTTTGATGCAAGGAAACACGCTCTCTGCATGCACACCACCTACTAGGACATGCTGTGATGTATTTTGAAAATGGTATCTATTTCTGGTCCAGAAATGGACCCATTTTTCTCGCCTAATTCAGGAATTTCTGAATTAGGTTGAGCTCATAACAAAGAAAACTTCTGTATCAACCTCACAGTCCAGAATCATGGCAACTTTAAAGACATGTACAGAACCTAGTTTCTTTGACTCTTGTACAAGGCTGTGAAATCCTGTAAGGTGGGTGTATTGACAAAGCCAAATGGTTTTTAAGGTATGTTATATCCTGACTGTGCATTTTGAGTGCATCTGTTTTGAGATGTACATATTGCAAACAAGCTAACCTGTTAAAATGTGTAAATTGTTTTCCCTCTTCCCCCACCTTTTGACTCTAGGATTAGTTTCTCCTTCAAGCTGAATGCATGCAACTGTGGGCTGACTGCATGGCCCTGCACCCTCCTGAAAATAATAGTCATGGACATTTTTCATGAAATGATTCACAAAATAAAATTAGCACCCTGGGAGTGCACTTTCGACAGTATTATTACTTGTCATCTCATCTACCTGATCAGTAATAAACTGGCATGCACTTCCCCAGCTTCAGGAAATAGGATTTAATGGTAGGCCATGAGAGGAGTAGCCATTTTGACAGCAGAGAAGAGAAAGCACCTCTTAGTGTTTCCATGACTGAAAAGCATAGAGAACTTCATGCCAAGCTCTTGAAGCTTTTCCTGAGTTCCTTATTTTTAAGGATGCTCTAGGAGAACTCAGTATAAACTTTATGAGCAAGAACTCCCATGTTAGTTTTTAAATAGGTATGTTTGGCAGCACAGTAGAGCACAAGGCAGTAGCAGCTGGCATTGGCAAGAGAAGTCTTGTGCCACTTCTGTATCTGGAATACAGACTTCTTTGAACCACAGTTTTTACAGCATCTACTTTATAAGAAACTTCCCAAGTTTCCCAAAGAAGTCTGTCACTGATAGCAGCAGTAGGCTCTAATGGAAACTCATAAAAGCCCCACAGTTTTTCATGGACTCCAAGGTCCGCATCAAAATATCTCACCACCACAGGGAACGTTTTACAGTTACCTTGATTAGTGGCATCAGTGGCAAAAGAGAAATGGCTTTTTCATCGAATGGCCACCTGATACCTGACCAGCTTTCTCAACTGTTTTGAGTCAAAGTATCTGTATTTTCAGCCAAGCTGTCTGCCTTGTTTGTCCCACACTGCGTTCTCTTGGTAGCAGCAGAGTCCTCAAGCATCGTTGATGTAAGTTTTGCTCCACGATCTATTTAAGCAGCTGCACTGGTTCATGTGACAAGATCCCCACCACCAACTTCTACAGCTGCAGTCTTGAGAGCTCCTGAATGGAACCTTTGGAAAGAAAGAAGACAAAGCGGCAGCCTGCAACATGCTTCTCAAGTGCTGAATGAGTGTTTCATTTCCCAGATGCTTTTGTACCACCTTGATGTCATCACGTCTAGGTGTAAACTTTGACATCAAGGGGTCAACTTTCACAGTCGCTTCTTTAAATCCATGGTTGTGTCTCCAGTTATCTTGAAATGATTCAGAGTGTCTTTTGCTTTTACCTGAGAGGATCTGTTCCCTACCTTCAAGATTCTCCTTCAAGTCAAGGATTGTAATAGAATGCCAGTGTGCAATGACTCATGTTCTTATAGCTATATGTAGCATCACGGGTTGCTAAAATTCAAAGGTGTCTGAGTGTGCATATTCCATTAATGTCAATGGGAAATATGTCTGGCTAGACGTGGACAATCTGGAGTGCTTAATTGCATTTTCAACTGCTGTTTTACTGATGAAATTGGAATTTAAGCTAACATTTACATTAAAAGAAACATCACACATACTGGGGGATCTTATATTTTGTTTCTGTGCAACGGAGCCAACAGACTTAAAGATCTGCTCCAGTGGAGCAACATCTACAAAGAAAGGAAGCCAAAATCAAAATCCATGCTAGGTATGCAATGTCACAAACATGAGGTAGCTCACCTCTGACAAGTTCCACATAATCAGCAGGGGCGAGCATATGAGTAGCACACTCAGATTGCAAAAGCATCGCACATACTTTCCCATTCCCAGTACTCACCCACCGTGTGTCACGCACTGGCCGGGGTCACGTGTAAACTGTGAATCAATTGGTCCTGGTCTGTATGTACTGCTCATGCCGAAACCATGCTGGGTGTGTTCTGCAGCCATTTTGAATATTCAGCCCCTGAGTTTATTTTATTTATTTATTTATTTATTTAAAACATTTATATGCCGCCCCCATGGCAACAAAGCCTCAGGGTGGCTCACAAAACCCTCAATTAACCTACAATTAGTCATTAACTCTATAACTAGTAATTAATTATCCCATTAACAGTCCAAGTATATTGCCTGTTTGTCATTCAATGATTGAATGATTTATTTACCTATTACATTTATTTATTACATTTTTATATCACCCAATAGCTAAAGCTGCCTGGGTGGTTCACAACTGTGGTAATAGTGTCTTTATTTGTGCTTTCTGAAATCATCTCTTTTGTCTCCTCTAGTCCTCATTCCATCTGCTCCTCTCTAGAGAAACTGCAGGGAGTAATATTTATCCCTGATCTGTGATTGAAACTGGAGGGAATATGGGCAAGAAAGAAATTCCTATGGAATCTTTTCTCTTTTGGGATGAGTGGTTTTTAAAGTTGTTTTGAACTATTGTTGTTCCAAAGCTCAAGAATAAAAAATAGTAGTATGAAAACAGATGGAAACTCTGAAATTTAAGGTTGCTGCTCTGAGAATAGTCACCCAAACTTGGGTCTTAGGGCCACTGTTGGAGACTGGGCAGACTTAGGCATCTCCATCCTAGGTTATTCTGCTTTTACCACCCTGCAGATGTTTTCAACTCCTTTCAGTTCCAGACATCCTGACCAATGTGAAGAATTCTTGGGGTTGCTGCCCAACATCTGGAGAGTTGCCACATTGGAGAAGCCTGGGTTACTTTATAAAATGTGACAGAATGCACATTATTTATCCCAAGAGCAGAAGAGTTGTGTCTTCCTTTTTTGAGTGACCCTGTATTGTTATTCCAGTGTGCAGGACAATAGTAAGAATATGTGACCTGCAATTTTTTTGGTTTGATGCATCGCTGAATAACCTAGGATGGATCTTTTTTTTCTACTATTAACGGTTGGCTGTTTAATCCCTTGGCTTCACCCCTTGTGTGTTCTGTGATGATGTTCTTTGTCTACATTTCTGAATGGGGTGTGCCAAAAAATGTCCCCATTAAGCCAAAACAGAGTACGTGCTTGTTAGCCTGGCACAACTCCTCTCACTCCTCTGCAGTGTCTTTAATGAGTTCGATGTGAATTTTCCATGTTCTGCCAAACGACCAGATTGGCTGATGTCTGCAGGGTGAAAAATAGTAGCACGCTGCTCTGCTAATTATAACTGCCTCAGAGTGTGCGCTCAATAGGTGACATAAAGAATGAGTAACATACCACCTTTAATTCTTGTAACCGAGAAAACAGATGCTGGTTACAAAGTGAATTAGCATGCAGCATCACTTATCAGAATAAACTGGATGATATTCAAAACATTTGGGTTACCAGAAATTCTGGTTATGTGGGAGGTTCAAAAAATTCTGTGTAAAATCCTATATAAAGTGATGTCTGTTGGAATTGACTTATGAGTTTTTGCAGTCACGTTTTTATTTTAAGCCAGAAATCTGTGTGTAGCTTACTATAGCTATTCATTTATAGAAGACTTGTTGTCACTGAATTAGAATAAACCTCTGCGTGCTGGAAAAAGAGGAGACATCTTCAGATTGTCCCTTAAGTCTTGGACAGTAAGACCAGCACACACAGACCCAGGTGACTTACAAGGTTGCCAGTTCGTACGTGGAGTTTCTGAGAGTGATACTTCATTCTTGTCCTGTGATAAAAAAAGCTGGGTAAGGTATCTTATCCTGTAAAAATAGTAAATTGTATAAGTACTGTAGAGTTCTGTGTTTACCATCAATCCAAAAAACATCCAGCTCCCAAAAAGCTGTAAATACTTTTTTTTTCTTTGCAGAGCCTGTGTCATCCTGGGTGTGATATTTCTTCTATCCTCTCTCTGTATTGTGATTAAAGCCATCCATGATCTTGCAATTAAGCTGCTTCCAAAAGTGGTAAGACCTATGATTTTATTCTATTTTGTCAAAATAATTCTAAAAGGTCAGAGTTCACTAATCATTTCTATTTTCAAATTGGTTTTTGATGTTTGGTCTCAAACTTTAGTTACAGGACTCTGATTTTCAGTTATCTGGTCATGATGAAAGGCTTTTTGCTGGAAGGTGTTTGATATCAGCCTTTCTTTTAAAAACAATTAAGGGCTTGGTACTGAGAAGGGAAGTGCAGGCTCAGGCAGCTGCCCTGTTCATCTCTCCATGCCTCTGGGCTTCCGCCTCCAGGGACACTGGCTGGGGATTTGGAGACATGGGGGTGATGGTGGTGCCCCTCCTCGTCTCCATAGCGCTACCCTGCGGCGATGCCAGGCATCTAGACTTGAGCTGCTTCTAGCACCAGCCCTTTGTCCCCTGCCCTCTGTGCATCTTTGGAGGTTCCCCCCCCCCCCAAGGGCCTCTTGCTCTGGGCCACTCTCTCTGGCGCCAGAGACAGTGCAGCATGTCAGTCCCAGGACTGCTGGAAGATCTGTCAAAAGAGTTCACAGTATTTGTCCCTTTCATGCTTTTGTTGGTCCAGTTCATGGAAGGAAGGCATTCTCTGTGTGAAGGAGCCTCATTTGGGGCTTCTCTCATAACGTGGCTTAGTGGCTGAAGATTCTGTCCTTTCCTTTTTAGGGCTATGAGCAGTCTTTCAGTTGCACAGAAGGCGTACAGCAGTTCGTGAAAAAATTGCCAGTTCCAGGACTAGTGAACTATAAAGACCAATCTAGAATAACCTTGTTGTTTTAATTTCTGAAGGAGCTGACTCTGTTTTACATCTCATATACCCATGTCCTGTCCTCAGTCCATTTTGCAAACTCTTTGATCCAACATTAATTCTAGCATTATGACATTTTGTTAATTGCCTTGGTAATTTAACATTTTGCCTTTGGATAGGCTAGGAAAACTGGATAATGCTCCTGACAAGTGAAGTTCAGCTCATTTTTAAAGTATTTCTGGATTTTTTGAAGATAGGGAATCCTTTGGGAAGTAGTTTAATGATTATTAGCCTAAAATAATACCAATAGCATTGTTGATTATATTAAATACAGGTTATATATTTTAAGTTCTTCACCCTACAGTATTTTAATTGCAACTAAAAGATATCAAACTTGTATAACTAGCATGAAAAGCAAGGTTTTTACCTTGCAAACAAAGCAAAAGGTTTAAAAACATGTATTTTAGAGTTTGTCTCCATTCTCCTTAATTTTTTTAATATTTAAGCAGATTATTTATTTCATTAAAATGAATCGTCCTCTGAGATTTTGTCTGCTATATCAACAATTAAATGTACTTCATTTGATAATTGAATAGTACAATAACAGAGTTTGTCTCTTAGTGCTGTGTATCACAAGACTCTGTGCAATTTCTGAGTTGTTAAAGCAACGTAAAAGGGCTAAGGAATGTGCAACATTCTGACTTACCTGGTGTGGTAAATCAATATCTATTTGCAATTCAAGCTGTGTGTGCATTTCCTAAGGCAAGAGCCTAATCCATATAGTGTCAATGCTGTTTACATTCTGTATTTGTTAGTACAGCCCAAGATGTGACTTTCTGGGGGTAAAGCAAATGCGCTGTAATGTGCATCTACAGCAACAAAGGACAACAATGCATACATGTAGTTCTAGGTTGCAGTGCATTTCAAAAAATGATTATTTGCAGCAGTAATTCCTGAAAAGAACATGCAGCGCAGTTGGTACATTTCATCCTTGCCACTCGCTGGCATAATCACTGCCAGATTGCCCCAGACGCTGCCGGCTACGGAGCTGCTGACTAGCTAGAATGGGACTGTGACATCATCAGTGCACAAGTGCAGATTGCCATCTTTCTGGCTGGGAAAACTTGGAGGACTTCCTAGGAGGGAGCTCTTGCCAGGCCTCCTGAGATGCAGGATGCAAGTACAAGTGAGGAAGCCTGTGCTTATCAGCTGCCTAGCCGATCTGAAGAACCAGTGCAGGGGAAGGGAGCAAGATGATCAGGCCACGGATCAGCATGTAGATGGGGATGGACCAGTTCGCTGGTCTGGGTGGGAGAGTTGCTTATTTTATTCTGTCTTGCTGGTGTCTCATCCATTTTGCTTCCCTTTCCTTGATAGCTGCATTAATTTTTTGATTTATAACTTATTAATTATTCAGAATTTGATTAAGTGTGTGTGTGAGAGAGAAAGAGCATATTTCCTTATCAAATTTACTTATTTTCATTCATCCTTTGTTGTGAGAGGAATCAACAAGGAAAATTATGAATGTAATTAGAAGACATATTTTCTTTTGTTGTTCTTATTCTGGAGTGTGTGTGGGAACTTCCTGTAGTTTTTTTTCCCTGCTGTTGTGGCTCTTTTAAAGCTGATTGCATTTTGTTGCATTGTGCCTACGAATTTTTTAAAACCTGGTTTTGGTGATTGAGACAGTAACATTTTTTCTGAATTGGCTATCATTGCTGGGATGGATGGGATTTACTTTCTGAGCCTGGATACAGTGGCTGTGGGATTGGGATTATTTCTGACCCCTGTATGTACCTGCACTCGGATAGCATATATATGTGCATGCTTTGCTAAATCTGGAGTTGTAGATTAAGCACTCATTCTTTAAAAAATTGCACAGAGATATTTAGATCGGTGTTTTCATGGGGGAAATCACTTTTGTGTTGTTTTAACAATTTAGTTAGATATGCAGAGAGGCCTTGAGTGCATATTTGTGTTCACCACTGAGTATGTGTGACTGCATGATTGCATGGAGCATGAGGGTAGAGGATGCTGTCTGGATTTCACCATTGCCTTGGAGATGCAAGAAGGAAAAAGAATAAATGGTGTTTTAAGCATTTAGTGGTGAACCTTTCATTCAGGGGAAAATTGGGAAATCACATTAAACTTATCCTCACATTTTATTTCAGTGCAGCGGAATGCATTTGCTCAGAGCACAATCCTATGCATGCTTAGACAGAAATAAGGCTTGCATTTCCAAGCATTTGTCAGGCTGCGTGGCTGACTGGAGGATGCTGGGAGTTCTACAACTCCCATATATTTGCTTAAATCTGCATAGGATTGCACCCTAACTTGGATTTAAAGTGATTTCTGCCCCCACTCATGTCAAAGATGGGTTTTGTGTTCTGCCCATGGTGAACCCGTGGCTCTGTCTCTGCCGCCTGTCTTCTACCCCATTAGCGAAACTAGCTGTCAGCCAGAAAGGAAGGGTGGAGGAAAGGGGCAGGACAGCTACCCTGTGAGCTGAGAAGGGCTTGGATCCCGGGCTGCTCCTCATGGGAATGTTCTTCGTTTCAGTTGTGTAGAACCTGTACAGATGTCTCGAGTTAGCCTAATTGTATGAGGCTTCCCCACATACCAGGGGAAAGTTGCTCTCTTTTATCTTCAATCAGCAGCTGATCAGACAGAAGCACTTTTCCATGCGGCATCGTGAGAAAAGGATCTTCCTCTCTCACTCTGCAGAGCGGAAAGGCAGCCAACTACCCATGGAGGGAGCGACCGCGTTCTTCTGCTGTGGCCAATTTGCTGCCTTTTTGTCATGCCTGGTGACAAAAGGAGCCCATATGAGTCATTATGCAGCATAGAAAGGTAGCAACTGCCCGTGGGAGGAGGAAGCAAGGTACCAAGATGGCTTGGTATCTTTCCATGTGGTGTGTGTGAATGCAAGGCATGCAGTATTCTGTTTATTTGTATGCTGTCCGATAGGCAAGGCTTTCTGGGTTGAGGCAAACATACTTGGGGAGTGCCTTGCTCACTTTAGGCTGTGGCCAGGCCTGCTCCTGGCATGTGGCCCCCAAGCCTCTGGCCAGAAAAAGGTCCCTTTCTGACTTAGGGCTGCTTTTCTGCCATATTAGAAGCATTGGTCCATGTGATTGCTTTTCCTGTAGCAACCTACATTTGTGGAAGTTGGACAATGAAAAAGTTAGACAAGAGGAAAATTGACTCATTTGAACTGTGGTGTTGGTGGAAACTCCTGCACATTCCATGGACAGCAAAGGCAATGAGCAAGCAGGTGCTAGAACGTGTTAAACCAGGCGCATTCCTCGTCAGCAAAATAACAAAACTGGGGCTCACTTACTTTGGCCACATCATGCGCTCAAGCTCATTAGAAAAAGGTATTATGCCTGCAGCGCTCAGTGGCGAGGGAAGACCAAGTCACCAGAGAATGCAGTGGTTAGACTCCATCACAGCAGATATGGGCCAGAGCATAATTCAGCTGAAAAAGTGTGGTGATATTTGGCCCATCGTATCACGTATAGTCGGGCGCAACTGAACAGCTGAACAAAACCACAACAGATACATCAATTTTTAAGGATTTACAAAACACCTTTGAAAGTTTTGAAACAGGCTCGCTGAAATTGCCTACTTGTTACCACAGGATAATCTGTGCATAAACTCTCATGCTGTAATTATTGCCTTGTGTCTTTGCAGGCAGGCTGTAAACATTCACCCCTTTCATGTGTATAGTGTTATAGGTGCATCCAGAAGACATAGATCTGATATGATAGCATGCTGTTTGGGCTCATGTACAGACTAGTATATGATGGACCCAGAACTTGGAGAAAATATTCTAATTAAAATGAAAGGTGTGAATGGATAGAATTGGTGCATGAGGCAGGGGTTCCTACCTGATCCTCAACTACCATATGGGTGCATCAGGAAGTTCGTAGCTCAATGTGTAGCTATCCAATTATCTCCAGTTAATTCTCCAATTCTTCTAGCTTCTGCTGAAGAATGTCTCCTTTTTGACCTTTCCATAAACTTTATCCAGTTTCTTCTCCAATCAACCCCCCCCCAAAAAAATAAAATTCAAAAATAGGTCTGTCCCACTTTCTGTCTCCCTCTTCCTCCTTGTCTTTGTTATCTCCAGCTTTCCCAGCTCACAGTGGCACTCAGAGATCCATTTCAGAAGTGCAAACTGCCCCAAACACTGGGCCAGCCTGCTGTAGGCTGACCTGTGCAGCAGTGTCCCTCAGCAGGTGAA